CATTTATTGTCTCTATTTATCAATCAAAATACGTTTCGGTGTATTTTTCCACCATCATCAGTTTTTATGTGTAGCGTTGTTGCTGCTTTAAGCCTTGGGATGCATTTTCTTGCTCGACAATAAATGACTGAAACCCAGGAATAAATTTGATTTGTAATACTTAATTATACATTGTTGTTTTTCTTTCTTGCAAGAAAATGCATGCCAAGGCTTAAAGCAGCAACAACGCTACACATAAAAACTGATGATGGTGGAAAAATACACCGAAAGGTATTTTGATTGATAAATAGAGACCATAAATGACTGAAACCCAGGAATGAATTTTGAATTGGAATTGAAACACAGTCAGGAAAGTATATACAAATAGCACAATGAAAATTATTTATAGGTATAAATCGCACTTGTGCATAATTTTTGGCTGGCACACATAACCTAATTAAAAGGCATTTTTAATTAAACGACGGTCGGGTTGTTTTAATATCGTGTCGCAGGGCTCCGTAATGAGACCGACGATGTGTTTTAATAAACCGCCCCATAAACGTCGCAACGGGGGTGCTTTTTTGCACCCCTTCCACGGCAAACAGACAGTTCAGCAAAGTTAATTTATGTGTGAGAAAAACGGCGCTTGCATCTAATTAAATTATTGTTATTTATGGATTTGAGGGTGTCGGCAAAGAGGCGGAATCTCGCCCGCTAGTACGACCCTGGTTAAATCGAGCCCATTAATCGCAGGCCACCACTGACCATTACACGTTTTTCCTCGCGCCAATAAACATTCGTCATAAAGAATTTTTTCTCTCGTTTTAGAGCGTCGGAACCGCCATGTTGGTTCTCGCGTGTTTCAGGCCAGTAAATAACCGGCGGCAAATTGAGCTGGTTCGAGAGCGAGGCAAAAATGGCCGTACTTCAAATTAAAATAAATATTTTTGACAGAGGTGCGCTTTTCCGTTCCCATTCTCGATTCCGAGCGTGAGTTAAGACTAAATCGCCTGCTATTATTTCATTTGCTCGCTTGTCCAAATTGCGGTTGTTTGGATGCTTTATGTACCCATAGGCCCCTTCTTTAGTACCCGATATTATAATAAACAATTAGGAACCGGGCCAATATCAAAAATGTCTAATCGAGCTTTTAAAACACAGTTACTTATACAGTTAATAACCTTTTCTGCTGCTTATTTTTCATATGGATTTTGTTTTGCTATGCATAGGTACATAGAGCAGTGTGATAATCACATTGTTAATATACATATACAGTTGAGTCCGGATATAAAGAACTTGAAAAATGAACTAAGACTGGTTCGTTATATCGAGAGTTCGCTATAAGCGAATAATAATACAAAAACACGTGGTGTATTTTATTTCGTTATTTTTACATAGAGTAGTAGATGTTAGTAGGTCTGACTAAAAAGAACACAAAAAGATAAACAAAATTCAATTTAAAATCTACTTCATAAAGTCTGTGATTTTTGTTTGTACATTTCTGCTGCCAAAAAAAAAGGTTATTTATTTAGTTTTCAAGATCACAAAAGGACTCCCAGATACGATTAGGAACTTGGCGTGATTGTAGAAAATTCCGAGTTTCTGACACTTTTTTTTGTCATTTCAGAAATGGTTGGAACATCATTAGTGTCTACAGTAGAGTACGTTTCACCTAAATCGTTATCATCGGTCAACATTTCTCTTGTAAGAATGCCATTATCAATGCTCACATATTCGAAGAAATTGAAATCACTCAATTTGGTTTTAACTTGTTCTTCGACAACATTGGGACATCTTCGTCTGTGTCATACTCGTAGTCAGAGTCTTTATACTTTTCTAACCATTCGTTAAGTGGAATTTCATCGTCTGGTTCATAATCATTTTCTTTTCTTACAAATCCCCCATGCTTAAAGCAATTTGCAATGGTTTTTCGGTTAACTTTTTGCCAAGCTCTATGAATGAAATTGACTGCATCTAAGAGATTTATAGAAAATGTTTCATTTTTATCGATCGCCTCTAACGTTTTCATTAGAAGAATTTTTCACCGGCAGACTCTCCAAC